GTAACACCTACAAGTTGTGTTGAAACATAACATTATGGCATACTTCACGACAGGTATGAGCTTCTTTACCTTGCATTGTGCATCCGTCAGAAATTGAGTGGCACGATCGTTGAACGGTGACACACGCCACAAAAGGATTTTGGCCGGATCATAATTGATCTCTTTACCAATATAATCCACTAGCTGTCGCATGGTCCAATTCTATAAATCGTTTGCCATGGTTGGATGAAAAAGTTACCTTGGCATCAGTGAAAATGAGGAAAGGGATCGAGGCGGTGAGTCGAGTGGAGCATCCCTTCCAAGTGGTGGCGAGTGCGGCGAAATAGGTTTCGCAAGCGAGGTGACTAACAGAGCGTTCGCACCAGGACCCAGTTCACTCAACACAGCGGCGCGTGAACTCCCCCCATCCTCTGCGTCTCTTAAGTCGGCTAGCTCTCATTCCCTCTGCCTGTATCTGTCTAGCCAAAGGGCTACGAAATGGGAGACGGTCATCAGGCACACGCGAAGTCGCGCGCGCAGTAAACTGCAAACATCGCGGGCTTGCAGTGGAGTTCACTTTTGCGATAAACTCAAACTCTGTTATTGAATTCGATGTGTTCGCTTCAGTTTTCAGCTGCACTCTTCGCTTAGGTAGGACCTGGATTGTCATGACCATTAGATTTTGTTTTATTAACATAACTAGAGTGATTTCATTGTTGTGGTGAGGAGAAAGCTGCACAGATTCAGCTGGCGAGTTAATTTAGCTTACCTGCGATCCCTAATCGTTTGAATGTCACTATGCTTCCTGGACAGCATACTCTCAGAGACTGTACTTACTATCGTATTGTTAAGGAACCACGAAATGTCCATTTGGAAATAGGAGCGAAATGTCACTGTCGCGATAATGGGGCAAACTATCGCGAGCGCGCGCGATCGTAACTATACGGTATTTGCAACTGTCGCGCGCGACGCCGCGTGGTCCTTCCGTCACATACCCCTACGGAATACACTGCTACAGCGCGCAGTGCCACGACTTGGAAATGATGCTCCACAGCTGGATTAATTCCGCGCACTGCTCATTCAACAACACTGAAGTTGCTCATTTCTTTTATGAGAATATACCAAGGGGAGATAAATTTCGAGTGTTCTCCATGCTATCAACCCTGATTCCGAAGAAATAAATTATAAACCTAGGCAAAACAGGGGACCTTCTGGAAAATATTATGTGATAAAACTGACCAATCCAATAGTTCCTGTAATTGGTGGATCAATTTCAGCATGACTGGAGACAAACGAATCGTTATTAGCGATCGCTTCAATGTCTATAGTATTGTACAGTGTGTCCAGGTGCAATTTGGCATTGTTGGTGTCACTCGTACGATCCTGACGCTCAGCAATCAACAGCCCTCCATCGCTCACTTCAACCACGGTGTTGTCAGCACAGAGCGGTTTGCCCAAGCTTTCAATTAAGCGGATGCGATCAGGTGCGACTTCCTGTGGGAAATCATTGAATTTCTAAGAGTTCTCACAAAAATTACTTATAACATACTTCGTAAAAGCGGAGTGGTGTGCCTTCAGGTAAACCAATAAGTTTCAAACATTCGTTGGTGTAAGCAGACATGCATTGACGATAAGCGACTATGAAGTGTCCTACATATCGCAGGGAGCGCGACTCTTCATCATAGTACTTGAGGAACATTAACATTTCAGCTGAAAAGAAGTTTGTCATAACTGAACGGACATGAAGGCTAGCTTCTTAATGGCTCGTGCTTGCCTTCTGGTGAGCTTGAGTTCTCTGGACTCCGACTGAATACTAACTGTTCGATCGCTAACAAGGAAGTCCTTGCAGACCCTATATCGTTACCAAGATCCCGCAGCGAAGTACGCATCTAGTGACAAAGAACAGTCACAAGTGAGAGAGTGACATCTGTGACAAAGAACAGTCACAAGTGAGAGAGCGCAGACAAGCAGCGTGTCTGGCTATGGTTAGGCGCGTGGCTGGTCATGCCGCAGCCAGCACTTTATAGGTATTACTGCCCTTCGACCTCGTTTCCGTTCAGTTCGATTTGAAAAAAGCTATGCTACTACAGTTGCTGACCCGTTCATTTCACAACTGGAACCAGGATCCAGGAAGGTGCGTGTACAGTTTGTATCTAAGAGCTACCATAATATCATGAAGACTACTCCTGCGAACAAAAATTTCATAAATGCTATAAACTCACAATTTTCATTGTAACTTCTCAAAGAGTGGGACGCAGTGGTCTCTATGTACAACAAATTACGGTCATTCTCCAGAACAGCTTCCAGCGTCTTCTCCTGTGTTTCCTCAGAATGCGGTATCTGCAAGTCACAAGTTCATAAAAAACGAGTTTCTTCCAGCAAAACGCCGTCTCACCAATGATGTTGGACGCAAACGAGGTAATGCCGACATAATGCTGCCCTCGTCCTTGTAGGTGGTCTCTTCAAATTTCCAAATTCTGAACATCTCCCGAGCAGGGATCTAGAAACATGTCACTTTCTTTGTTGAAAATGTGTATCATTTAAATCAACTACCGTACATCATGCTCAGATTCGCTGGAGAAAAGTTTGCTCTTCACATAGTCGTACAGCTGAGGAATTGTCATGTTCTTTTCAATTTTCTCGCGTGGCAGACCAGTGTCGTCCAGTAATTTCGGATCAACCAGATCAAACCCATTATAACTGGCGAGATGCTCATCAGTGACCATCTAAAGATAAAAAATATAGGAGGCGGAGCATTCGGCGATGGTCTATCCCTTTTCAGATGCGCAGCGCATTCTGCCTCCCTTCGGAATCGTAATGGCCAACTGAATGTCATGTGGACTATACATGACTTGTGGGAGCCAGCCGATATACAAATCAGTGTTTTATCCTCCCAGACGAATCTGGTACCAATTTACCGTCCCCAGATGGAAGGCTTGGTTGGCCGGGGCGGGAACCAATCAGGGATTGGACCCACGGACCGAGCGCATTCTAAGCGCGCCACTTCGCTATACTACCTCCATCTAGTTGCAGAGGAAAATGAAAAATCTGCTGTGCCGGGTGCCAATTGAGGCTGTCTGCGTTCACCATCCTTTCACCTATCGGTCAAATACGACCCTCTCGATGAAGTCTCCACAACGAGATGCCCTGGGTGCCAGGGAACCCGGACCTTCGCTTCACCTGAAAACGAGAAAAAGACGGCATACTGCCGGAAAATTCAATCTGGACAAAAATCAGTATACTTACAACAATCTCGGTATACAGATGAGCTTCCTGCTTTTCCTTCTTCTTCTTATTTTCCTCTTCGCGTTCGTTCTCGAATCGCTGCACCAAATGGGCTGGTACTTGGAGGTTCTCATTTTGACAAAGAACATCGTCTAAAATAGGTCCAATCAATACGCATCGTCTTCACAGCCAGAAACTGGGTAAAATCAAACAAGTTAACTGCTGCGCGACCTATGCAACTTTGTCTGACATAGACAAGCATATATGCATTCGTATAAGTTCTTCCCGTCGATTCGCCATCATCTCCTCCATAGTTGGCCATAACCGCCTCCCTAACTGTTGCTCGCGAAACGACATCATCGTCAAACTTGCACCACTGAAATGCCGAAATGTGAGATGGACCCCTACAACGATACATCGCTTCCACTGAGCTTGGGTGGTGTGGTGGGCACGACTGCTGGAGGCGGGCGGTTCCTGCCAGCCTCACTGGCGGAAGGGATGCGGGAGTCGTCTGGCTACACCCCACTCGGCCCTTCCACCAATGAACGTTGGCAACAACTGCCCACCCCAGCAATCGTGCACACTGCCTTTAAAAGCATAATGGTTATCATTTTGAATTTTAATTGGGAGTTTCAATAGTATTCTAATTTGAAGAATTAGCATTACATTATTCAAACTATGAGTTGCAGGTTCGTGCCCTACATGAGGTCAAATGTTTTGTACATATGTCAGCATCTATGAAAACATTTATAGGGCAAACTGCGGTGCCGACAACAGTTTTCGTAGGGACCTCCAAAAACTCGATGCAATGCAAAAATCGAAAGACGCTATTCAGAGAATCTTCTGTTACCAAGAATTAAGCCGTTAGCTACAGTAACACAACTAACCTTTGGCTTGTATTTCTCTCCTGGGGGACGTAGCCCAGTATTGATGAATACAACATAATGGCCACCATGGAAGTCACCAGAATGAACAAGAACAGCATGTAGACAATAGGTGTAATCCTCTCCATTTCCTTCCATAAACTCCTTCAGACACAGCTTATCCGGGAATGCGAACCTGAAAGGTTTCAATTGAAAAACAACTTATTTTGGAATATGAATCGAACAGGTTTTCCACTCACTTGTCATTAATTTTCACATTGGCATCAAGAGTTGCATCGTATTGGAAGCGCATCAGTTGCAAATGCAAAACTGGTGGAAACGAGACAAATTTCACGCCTTTTTCTGCTGGCTGCATACCGTAATCACCAGCGTCATACTTGTTCTCACCATCCAGCCGTTCAACTTGAACGTATTCGCGGAACGATTGCATGACTAAAAATGAAGGTTGAAATTGTAATATGGTAGCCATCAATACAAAATCAATACAAACTTTTCGGATAGTGGGGCGAATACGTCTCAAAAACATACAAAATCCAAAAACTTCCTCATTCACTCAAAAATTTCCTATCCCCTCCTGCCTACGAAGCACAGTCTGATTTGCTGGGAATGATGGGGCGTGTCCGTCCGCGCAGCTGCGTTTGGCGCACCGCCAGCCCGTTCTCCACTAGCTTGAAGCGGCTAAGCGAGAACTAGTGAAAATTCGCTGACAGGAACGATATTATATAGTCTTGTCGCTTACAGAAAGAAAAAAAAAGGAAAGAAAGGGGAGGGCGTCGCGTCGACTCTCTCGAACCCCCTACCAAACACTGGTGCATCAGCAGCAGCTAATTCCGCCTTCATGTTAGCTCGCCCCTCCCAAATGATTTTCATAAATCCTCCACTGAATATGCACAATTTGAAAGGATAAAAACAAGCAGAAAAGAAACAAAGGAAAAACGAAAAAAAGGATGATTTCTCTGCGCGCGCATTTGGGGCAAAGGTGCGACCTCAGAAAAAAGGGAAAAGTAAATAAAAATAAGCTTAGAACAAACTCACTATTATTTTTGCCTTTAATATTGAGCTGAATATCATAGAAAGGTTCTTCTTTGCTGCTTTCAAAACTGACATTAGTGCAACGAATATATGACTTCATGACACCACGGAACAAATTGGGGATGGTGTCCTCTACCTGGAAAAGCTTCCTTAGAAGAAACCTTGAGTTGAAACATTTAGTATAAAAAGTCCAGTCGCTTTTAGCACGAAGCAAATCTACAGAGGAAAGTCTCCTTCAAATTCACAAAAAAAATGCCGACAGGATCAGAACTTACAGGAGATTTCTTCATTTTACTCTCCAGGTTATCCAGTAATACCCTACACAGTTCTTGAACGTCATGTTGCATGAACGTCTCCAACGAGTCCCAACCAAACGACTTCGTCAGCTTCTTCGTTCCAACTGGACGGTCAGAGTGCTGGTAAAAGAAGAAATCAGGGAAGTGGTGTAAAATCTTGAACAATTGAGCGAAAAATGTGAAAATCTAAACAAAACACTACTACTTGAAAATGTACCTGTAAATCATAGAATACCCGCTGCATGGCCAAGGCAACATTATTTTCTGAATCATCTTGTGATACCGGCATATCGTACACTGCCTAAAAAGCAACACATTTCAATGCAGTCATTAATTAAAGTCCATATCGCAGAGCTGTGGAGGGCGTGGCTACGTACTCCATTTGAACGTGGCGGTAGGTGCCTACGCCGCGATACTGGCGCTTTGGGATAGTGCAATCATGGTTTTGTTCAGCACAAGACAAACAGGTTGTCCCACGGAAATATCTCACGAAAAAACGCATCCTACTACACGTTTGAATGAAATATGCAGCCACGCCTTCCCCACTTCCGTGATATGGAATAAACGGGGGAAACAAAAGCTAGCAAATAAGACAGAACAGAGACTTACCTTTCGCAACTTCGTTGTAAAATATAAGGTTTGTAGAATAGAATTCATATAACAAGTGGCACCCTGATTCTTAAGTCCAATATACCCAGCATGTTTTTTACTGTCCCATCTGAAAACAATTAGAGTGAGCGACTGACACAACATTACAAACCTAGTGAAATTGAAGAAGAGAGAACGCAGACAATAGTAGGGAATTGATATGACAAAATCAATCGAGTTCAGACTGATCGTGCACCCCCAAAAAAAGTACTATATCAACCGTTTTCGATCGAGTAGAGATTGACAGAGATCTCGATGATAAAAAAATTATTTTGGAAAAAAGGATGCTTATGAGCGGTCTCTCGGAAAAAAATATTAGAAGAAACTTACTGTACACCGTGCGGAGCGTCTGCCGACACATGGACGACTAAGCGAATAGTATCGTCCTTTATGAAACCATTTTCAGGATTTATTAGATGCTGAAAACCATAACAGTAATTCTTGCAACAGTTAAACAGATGCCATTCCAATGAAGTAAGGAAATTTCTAAGCAGGGCACCCATCGCATTCAACATTACCAAAAGGACTTGCTTTTACAAAAACCGCCAGTAAAAGTAATGTGCACCCATCTTCTAATAGGAAAATGCTCTTCTTGCGCAAAGGAGTTAGGTTCATCTATCCCCCATCTGAACACATTTCTCCCAGGCTTGGGCGAGAATCCTCATCCCGTGGCTAACGACTGGTCCTTTGCCCACTTCAAGAAAATAAGTACCCTCATAAAACTAGAAAAAAAGGCCAAGAAATGCCGTGGATACGAAACTCGCAACATTCCTAGTTTCGAGGAACTAACGCAGGACTGATATCACACCGTAAACCGACGAACTGTCGCACCAAAACATAGACTGTGAGACATCTAATCTTTTTTTGATGGCGAAAAGCGAATTTCCTCTAGCTGCTTGCCCTCCCCACTATGAAGGAAAAGATATTGGACGGATTCTCACTAACAATACTCTACACGCGCAGAGTAAATGATTTTTCAATCGCGAGTCTTGTGATTGTCCTCAATGGGTGAGACTCCCTTTAGCTCTCTGAGCGAGGTGTGCTCATCCACCTGGTGTCTGCCTCGCGATGAGACGCAGACAGAAAAAGGAATAGTTGTCCCAAGATGAATAACGTGGCCTGCGGACAATCACTTTCATGGCGTCAAATTTCTGTTTTTCTCTGCTCTCACGTCTGCACTTCGCATCTCTTTCTGATTTTTATGACCATGGTGACCTTTCGTGTTCACATTCACGCATGATAACTGGTTCATCCTCCTCGGAGTGCCCTCCCACGGAAAAAGGTTACCATCTGGCTCGCGACATGTTCTTTTGCCCGTCGATGCCTTAGCAGCTGCGTTCTCTTATTTATCTGTGCTTTCCTTCACGACAGGACCCTAAAATTTTAGCTGTCACGTCACCCCCTGTACTGGGCTAGAGAAGAAAATAATAAAAGTAACGAAAAAATACTTACATCACACGTTAAGAATTGTGAGTATCCCCAGTCATTCTCCTTTGGATAGAATGTATGTGTTATCCGTCGTGAATGGTCATCGAAACCTTCTATCTGACCAAGCACCTGTAACAGTCAACTATCATGTACTGCTTCAGAAGAACATTTGAGTTTAGGTACATTTGAGTCCCTGCCCTAAACGCAGAGCCTGGGATTGATATCCATGGGTCGTCGCATACAAAAACGAATGTCAAGGTGCTCATTAACTAAGCAGTGGCAGTAAAAAAGGAAATAGAGTGATTAGCGGGAAACATAATGCTCGGTACCAGAGGGTGCTCAAAATAAGACACCCTCTGGTACTATACGTTATGAGAACGTGAGGCGAAGAGACACTGAGCGTGGAGGCGAGAAACAGACCAGGATCATGCGAGGGAACACATAAATTAGAACCCCCAACGCTAAACAGTGATGGTAGACGATATGGAATGGAGATCATGAACGAAGGGGCGGGGAAGACAAAGCGTGAAGAGTCTTAGCGCCTTTATCAAGCAGATTCGAAGCGCCGAACTGAACATCGTTTGCTTTTGCAAGCCGTACCATTTGATCCAAAGAAGGGTTTGTGGAAGTTGTTTAATAATTGTGGAATCCGACTTTCATGAAACAACAGCTCTACACTTCCGTCGCTTATCTGAGACATGATCCTTGACAATACAATGACATTGCAGGTGAGGCCTTGGATAGATTCTTCTGTCAAATCCTTCACTCTTTGCCCAGTGTTTTGGAACGCAAACTGAAAATCTTCCAGCAGGGAATACCTGAAAGTCTCTGGATTGGTCAACGGTTAGTTCTCAGCTGCTTGAAGGTACGCTCAGTGCTCATTCGATGATTAGACGCCATCTTTGGACAAGGCAGTCCTCCCCATACGTATGGAGGATGTACTACTTTCACAGCTCGAAAAAATCATGAAGAAAACGTGACCCGCCCACGACGGCCACGGCTCCGCCCACTATCCAAGGCAACGCACACTTTCTTTCAAAATGCTTTCTGGTGATCGGGTTGTTCCGCTACTAGCTCTCCCATCATTTCTAATGAGGAATGTGAGGTGATAAGAGGAAAACCGATCCTAACAAGTGAGAACTCGTCCGGCCACGCCCCTTCTTCGCCTGTACGAGCGCAGTTCGATTTGGGGTTCTATATGAGGCTTTTTTTCTGCTTATATTTGGCACCATTTTGCAAGCCAAAGATTATGATAAAAGGCTGGGCAGATTAAAAATAGCTTCAACGGGAGGTGTTCGATCGAAAACTGAAAACAAATCAAGTGGAAAAGGGGGAGGGGGACGGAGAAATTGTTCAAAAAAGCAATCAGTTGGAGCAACTGGGCGCATCGAACATACCATGTTGGGCTCCGACACCAAAGCATTCGTAATAGCAGGGTTATAAGGCTTTTGTCAACCTGGCTTCCTCTCGCTGTTAGGATGCATCGGTATTTTCTAATCACATCTATTGGCCGAACATCCGAAATGTGGGAAACAAGGAAGAGGGAAGAAGCAAGGAAGGAGGAAGAGAAGGATGTAGGAAGTAAAAAGGAAGGAGTAGGCGGAGGCTCGTGGTTGACAAATATCCTGAGACGGTAACAGTAAGTGTAACTTCAGAAACTCCAACAAACCTTCAGAGATGCTGAGGCTATGCAATTCCAAGCAACAGCGTCAGAGTCACCATTACACTGCAGGAAAAACCCTAACGCTTTGTTCGGTCGTGTACCCGTACCAACTCTGGCCGCATCCCTGAACATACCATGTTGAATTTCAAGCATGAGGGTTACTGCTTTCAATAAATTGACCTCGGTATCGCCAGGATCTTCCATGGAAGCCCGCGTACAAATACAGGTTTTGAGAGACGTTGTTGAGTTTCTGGTGATCCTTTACAGAACTGGCTAAACCCATCGATATCGAGGTAGATTGTGCCTTCAGGCTTATACAGATCATCGGGATCGTCTTCTTCCTCCGTCATGTAATCACTTTCACAACGTGGCATGTCTTCAACTACTTAAAGCATATCAAGTAGTTTAGTGAGTAGTAAGTATTCAAGAGGCTTTCAAGTAACATACTCTTTATTGGCTCCGCACATTCGTCGTCGCACGATACATTCACATCCATTGCAGCATCAGGAGGTGTACAGGCGTCGTCTTCTTCACTAGCGGAATCCTCGACCATGTCTACCTACAAGGTGTGACGGAGTGCAATAAATAGTAAAGTAAAAGAAGATTAATAACTGAAACAGATGAGTAGAGGTGTGACCTACTTCAACGTTTTCTACGTCTGTGTCTCTATTATCGACGTCCATTTCTCTGTTTTCCACGTCAGTTTCTTGATTTTCAATTTCAGCTGACTTCAGTACAATGTCAGCTTTATTATTGACGGCGTCTTTGGCTTCGATTTCCATCTCAGCGGTTGAGACGTCCCTTTCTGTAGTGCCCTTCTCTACAGAATCTATTGTTGGTGTCTGTCCCTTCTCGTCAACTCCGTTCTCCATACCGATATATAGGAGGTCCAGGAGCGATATGGTATTCTATACGAAATCACGGTACATTCTAATAACAAATTACCAAGAAAAAAAACTTGACTGAGCACGAAAAATTCAATTATCAACCGGGTAAGGAAGATACAGAGTACGGAAATGAAAATAGGACACACTTGAGACCCATCACCGCCGGGTTGTCCCGATAGGACTAGGTGGGGCGAAGACGAATGTATGGCAATTGAAACGGCAAAAAACAGAATCGTCAAAGTTTTCAGATCGAAATAAGGACAAATTGAAGCCCCATGCCGGAAGCAAGCCAATAAACTTCAAGTAGGGAGCCCTTAACTGCAGAAAGCATAAAAAGCTCCAGTTTAGCATTATTTCGGCATATTTTCAATCGTCCCATCACGTGACAATTAGTATAGAGAAGTTAAAATCAGAGAAAATTCTATAAATCTGGTAGGTATTAGACCCTAAGTGTTGCAGTACTGACCTCATAGCACTCAGTTTCGCTGGAGAAAATTTGAATCTTTTACAGGATACGACTCTCCCTAATTTCCTCCTCTGGTAAAGCTCTGCTCCCCTTCCTCATGCTACCTACATCTTCAGAAGCTTTCCCAAATTCCCACTCTCTTACGAAATTTTCCAAAAACTTTGGGCTTTTCCCCAAACCTTTACCGTCGACGGGTAAGGGGAAAGGCTCAGCCCAAGTACGACCTCCCGCTGGGGATTTCCCGGCGTACCACTCGTCCTGATTAACCTACATGGAGTCTGTGTCGAGCAGTCCTTCACAAGACGATGCGGTCTAGAAATTCCACCGTGAAGTGAAAGAGGTCCCAAAAATGTGAGAGCGAGTGGGCATCCCTTCCTCCAGAACCTGCACATTGGCCAAGGTCCATGAGAGGTATTTCAGTGGACAGAAGGTTTGCCTCCTACTGTCATGGAGCGGGCAATTTCCGAAGAAGTTGCACGGAGTGGGTTCCCGTGTGCTAAAATCACATATTCACCCGTGGTTTTGATAAATACTGAAGGCGTATATTAGAAGTAACTGGTAACCTTATTTACTTCCCAGCCAAACAAAGAGGGTAAATAAATTACACCGCTAATTTTGTGATGTGCAAGCAGAGATTTGCTCTGAGTAACAGGCACACGTGGCTGCAGGCACACGTGGCCTCGCTACCAATCTGCAGTATCCAGATTATGTTTTCTAACTTTCTAAAAACGAAACATTCCCAGTATATTGTTAATCAATAACAATTTTCAAAAAGGTCGAATTTTTTTAAAACTGAAAAAAATTGAGCGGAATGGATTATTTGAGGTAATCTCTAAAGAGCTCCCCTCCCCCCAAACTTGCAAACGCATCGAAAGAGCAGGACGGTGGTATGGACTGACAGTCGCTCTGATAAGCAAGTAATTTTTGAGTGGTAGATTTAATAAGTAGTTTTTCCTTGCGGCAATAACTAAGAGGAAAAGTGGAGAGAGAAAAAAGGTAAACTCACCTCTGCATAATCATAATCATATTGATATGGGGGAGGTGGACCGGGTTCCTCCGGATAATCCCATTCTTGATATGGAGGAGGTGAATCGCACCATTTGGGAGGTGTAGGGGGCCGCATCCGCAGTAACGTGTCACCTTCTTCGCTTGAAAGTGCCCGGAACAGCCATTCCCATACTGCTCCCGCGCTGCCGCTGCCAGGTGCTCCACTTCTCTGCGCTCTCTCCTTCCGATTGTTCTCTGCCTCTGGCTGTGAGTTCGCTGCGGGACCTTCGTACCGAAGCAAGCGCTGTGTCTTGAATTCGGGAGACGGCACCCGGTTAAAACCACCTCAGCATCGCTTCCGTGCACTTCCGAGCGAAGTGACACGCCACTACACCTGCAGATCCATTCACCTCGCTCTCGGCAAGGACCTTCCTCAGAGGTGAGGGTACAGTTTGTCCTCCAGCCGTTGAATAGGTCGAATCCGAAACGTATACCCGAGCGGCAACCAAGTCATCCATGACGGGTTACTACACCAGAAAGCCCAATATTACGTCTCGTAGCACTCAGAGCCAAGGCTGGAACTTCGTGGATGGCGTTTTTATCTGCATTCAACGAAAAACAGCCTTTTTGTGACATTATAAGTTCCACAGATAGCATGAACCTAATTCCTTTAATTGCTTTTATTTGGTGTTTTTCTCCGCAGTCTCTCATCAGCGTGGTGTTCCATGATCACCAGTATCTTACCCATTCCAGCTTTCCACGCAAGATTGCCGGATCACCCACCACAAAGTCCACTCCTCTGAAGAAGGTCCTCGCCACACCATTTCAGGGCACTTGTCAGCTGAGGAACTTTCTCTTCCTCCCTTCTTCTGATTCCTTCTCCTTTACTTTCTCCCGAGAACTACAGGACTGGCTGGACCCTCGCAGCGAGAGCACGTCTGGTTGACAACTGCCCCGTAACCCTCGCCACACAGTCCTTCTTCTTTCTATGCTTCGGCAACTTCCGTCTTCTAGCTGTGTGTGCTACATTGTTTTGCGACAGGACTATGCGGGAAATTCTAAATTCTAACGTATTCCACCAGTCTTGTTCTTTTTGAGAACGTTTTCCCATAACTACACTCTGTATATCATTTCCTTGTTGCCTTGCTGAATCACCCACCCCAGAATTCCTCCACCACGAAAAAGTCTCCTCGCTATATGTTTCTTCCTTCTTCTTCCTATGCTTCGGCGACTTCCGTCTTCCAGCTGAGTGTGTGCTACATGTGTGCTACAGTATTTCGCGGCAGGACCACCAGGGAAAGATCAACTTCTCACGTCTTTCCACCAGTCTTGTTCTTTTTGGAAACGTTTTCCATCACTTGTGATATAATCATTTCCTTGTTGCCTTGCTGGATAACCAACCCCAGAGTCCCTTTACCTCGAAGAATTCTCCTCGCCACATATTTGTCTTCCTTCTTCTTTCTGCACTTCGGCGACTTCCGTCTTCCAGCTGTTCGGTATCGTGCTACATGTTGGCGCTACCCAGTGTTTCGCGGTCGGAGCCACCAGGAAAAGAGCAACTCTCACGTCTTTCCACCAGTTTGTGCTAAGATCAAGTTCTCGCGTCTTTCCACCAGTCTTGTTCTTTTTGGAAACGTTTTCCATCACTTGTGATATAATCATTTCCTTGTTGCCTTGCTGGATCACCCACCCCAGAGTCCCTCCACCTCGAAGAAGGCTCCTCGCCACATATGTCTTCCTTCTTCTTTCTGTACTTCGGCAACTTCCGTCCTCTAGCTGTGTGTGCTACAGTGTTTCGTGGCAGGACCACCCGAAGAACATTAAGTTCTCACGTATTTCCGCCAGTTTTGCTCTTTTTGAAAAGGTTTTCAGATCACTTCTGAGATAATCATTTCCTTGTTTCCTTGCTGGACCACCCACCACGAAGTCCCCTCCCATCGAAGAAGGCACCCCGCCACATATTGGTCTTCCTTCTTTTTTCTCTGAACTTCGGCAACTTCCGTCTTCTAGCGGTGTGTGCTACAGTGTTTCGTGGCAGGACCACATGGAAAACATTATGTTTTCACGTATTTCCACGTGGCATTAATAGTTTTGTAAACAGGCAGTTCCAAAATAGATTAGCAGTTGTTTTTGTAAGCCCCTTGTCTCGAAGTGGTGTATGCAACAACCAGTCGTAATATGCCGCCTTGGTGGGCGTAGCGAGCGACGCCGCGCCCGACAGACGAGTTGTCCTGCCGGCCGTTCGAATACGGGTGTCAGTAGGATACCTTGTTCTTTTTGAAAACGTTTCATCACTTTTAATATATCATTTTCTTATTGCCTTGTGTCTTTGTTGTTTGCTATTCCCTTCTTTTTCCGAGCTGGATGGCCTATACTCAGATTCTTATAACTCGTTTCGGAACAGAACAGAAAAAGTTCCCTTTTTCTAGGGCTGTAAGCCGCGTCCGCTCGAAAGCCCGCAAAAATTTCACGTGACGGGAAATGTATTTATTGTTTTGGGTCCCAGGTCACTAATAGTTTTGTAAACAGGCAGTTCCAAAATATAGCAGTTGTTTTTGTAAGCCCCTTGTCTCGAAGTGGTGTATGCAACAACCAGTCGTAATATGCCGCCTTGGTGGGCGTAGCGAGCGACGCCGCGCCCGACAGACGAGTTGTCCTGCCGGCCGTTCGAATACGGGTGTCAGTAGGATACCTTGTTCTTTTTGAAAACGTTTCATCACTTTTAATATATCATTTTCTTATTGCCTTGTGTCTTTGTTGTTTGCTATTCCCTTTTTTTTCCGAGCTGGATGGCCTATACTCAGGAACTTCCCAGATAAAATAATAGTGGAATTCGATGAAGGGGAAACGTTGCGTGGAATGAACACACTTTTCGCCATTTTCTTATAATTCGTTTCGCAAACAACACAGTAGAAAAAGTTCCCGTATCTTTCTTACGGACCTGTAAGCACGCCTCGACAAGATGGCAAATTTCACAGTGACGGGAAAATGTATTATATATTTTTATTTATTTTTTAATTGTTTTGGTCTCAGGTCATTAATAGTTTTGTAAACAGGCAGTTCCAAAAATATATTAGCAGTTGTTTTTGTAAGCCCCTTGTCTCGAAGTGGAGTACGCAATAACCACTCGTAATTCGTAATATGCCGCCTTGGTGGGCGTAGCGAGCGACGCCGCGCCCGACAGACGAGTTGTCCTGCCCGTCCGTTTGAATACGGGTGTTAGGATGGGAAGGCTCCATATCACCCATCATGAAGTCTTGTCTTCGCTTGAATTCAACAAATTGCGCTGCTCCAGTTGGCAAAGTGGCGCTTATTGAGAATTTGCCGCGCGTGGCCGCACGGTACGCCGTGAGCAGCGACGCGACAAATGCGGTTGTCCTGTCCGTCTTCCTCGAAGTGTCGCCACGATCCTATCACCCCGTACATGACGTAAAGGTCACCATGACCACCTGATCCAGGCATTATCTTCCTTGCCTTTTACTACCTGCTTGAGAGAAAGCTCAACCCTGACTTTTCTCAAGTTCGGGTCATCGCGAAGTTTTACTTTTCTTTCTGACATTGCAGTCATGATTCACTTTGCCGGAGCAGACTCTCCACTTCGCCTGTTTTACGAACTGTGGGCCCCATCCCTCCTTATTGACAGATCTCTTTGTCTGTTGTGAGTGTCGAACATCCCTGAGCCTCGTGTTGTATACGATCTTCTTCATCAAAGATCTCATGAAATCCTTGATGAAGAAGATCTTCTGTCTGAGTTTTCTATTTGTTAGTGATTGTTTTTGCAGTCTTGTTTGCTGCGGATGGAGAGTTATCAGGGGACTTCGGTTTGGCGCGGCGCCAAATCCATTTTTCACCAGTTATGAAGCGAGCAAACGGCAAGATTGTACCATATTCTTCACATCAATCGCATTCTACCTTCTATTGTCGCTTACCCGCTTCAAACTGGAGGAAAACGGGTTTGGCGCCGCGCCTAGCCCTCATCCGCAGCGAACAGAAGTGCACAGATCTTTCTTATTTCGTAGTTTGCTTTGAAGACAGTTCCCGCGTTCAAGCAACTCATAGGCGTCCTTCCTTGTACAAGTAGTCTGGTCCTCGGTTCCTGATATTATCTGTCTTTCACGGTTTCACAGTAAGTAACGAAGGCGCCGCAGCCGGTGCTAATATTTAAGGGGAGGGGGGACGACGCTCACGCTGCTCTCCCGCTCCCTCCTCGACGAGAGAGTATCGCGCGTGTTTGGTTGGATTCAGTAGGGGTTTTTCACATGTGACTTTGTAATTTCAAGAATAGAACACTAATATAATACTGTCGTAGGTTGGTAATCCAACAAGG